CCCTCCCGCGCTAGCCTAAGGGCCACCTTAGCAAAGCGCATCCCAGGCTGCATAGCCGCACTACCCTACCCAACCATACCACACATAAACATGACACTACCCCCGGGGTTTACACAGACGAGCCGGCGAAGCAAGAAGAGCGCCAGAAGAAAGGGCCCTAGCCGGCGGGGCCCAGCCAGGACAAAAGGAGGTCCCACAAAGCGCCTACACCGGCCGCATTTGCGGTCGGGGTAGACGACGGATGGGGCCCACCTACGAAGGCTGTCCAGGCCTACACGAGATGAGGCAGGATAAAGAGGGATAATCCCCCTCGATCCCAAATCATTGAGGCCAATTTCTAGCCATGGAATAATGGCGGTTCTCGACCGCCACATCAAAGGCGCCGACACGGACTCTTCCAGCTTTATATTATTAAGCTGTGCAAATATCTTGCCAAATTAGAGGCGACGAGGGCGCTAGTGTCCCGCAAACCCCGAAATAGTGGAGCGGAGATAGAGAAAGCGACAGTTTGAATTAAAAATCAATCATGTCGTTTTGTGATGTATTAAAAATTTTAAAATAAATAATGTAGGCAACTTTGAGTTAAATAATTAAATCAATAAATAATGAAAATATGTAATTCCGAGTTGTAACAAAAAATATTAGCTTTATTCGAAGAACGCCTGGAAAGACTCCAAAACCATCATCTTACAAAAAAGCGTTCGAACACAGACCACCTAGACTGGCCGTATCTAATTCCAATGCACGGGTACCAGTGAATGCAAAATCCGGGGAAGTGGAGTGTGGAAGGCAATCGGATCGCGCGCATCTTTAAGCAGATCCGGATTAAGTAATATTTTTATTACATATTAAACATTATATTGCATCTTATGACAAATATTCAATTTTAAGTTTGTAATTCAGAAAATAGTATATTTTAGTGTCATATTAAATAAAACTACAAAATAATTTAAATATATTTATTGTCCTCTAAATAATATTAATTTATTTAATATTTGTCTTTTCGTAGATTTTACCGAATTAAATAATTTGACTTCATGATTTATTCGTACATCGATATACTTTTCACATTCAGCCCTTACAAGTTCTATTAAATGATTACAATTGTTAGGCAAATTATCAAATTGATGTTCATGCAAATTTTCAAATATGTTCACATTCAGAAAGTTTTTTAATACATGATAAACAATTTTATTTTTCTGTAGCCTAGGTGTTCTGCTTTCATCATTATTTAAAAATTTTATTAATTTTTCTGTTTCTTAGCATATTACTACGACATCTCGAGATGGATACGTCAAACAACCACGATCTTTAATAAAAATTAATTGACTGTACGAATACTGAATCTGAAATTAGTTTTGTTTGCGATTTTTTTAATTGAAAAAAATATTTAATTAATTTTCAGCTATCTCGAAATGACGGGAATTGGTAAAATTTCATAAAAATTTAAGACTCGCATAAAGTAAATAATTACTAAAAATATTTTACAGTAATTCATTCATTATTTTATAATAACAATATCACGTTAATCACTACACTATGTGGGCGAACAAAATTATAAAGCTAACCCTGGAAACTTGTGACGTTAACCGAAAAATGGCGTACATATTTACCTTTTATATATTCCTTTTTTTTACTTACCTAAAGAAGGAAACTTTTCGCCTCTCTTCACCAACTCGATCACTTCTATTTATACAATGTTTTACAATACACTTGCCCATGATAAAACGTCTAATTATCGAAATCACAGCGATGCGTACACGTCAAATGCTAGGACACGACTAAGCGCTGGGCCCCAAATCAGGCTCCAAAGTGTTTTCACCAAAGTCGCTCTATAAGCCAGTCTAGGTGGTCTGTGCGTTCGAAGAACCACAAATCACCAACGCTGACAATAAATTTGGTGTTCGTAGAAAGGAACAAACTAGTTTTCAATCAGTTAGAAATTATCAGAATAATTGCCAACAATTCAAGAAATTTTTGGGTTGGTGTTGGTACATGAGCACAAGGAATTTGTGACGTGATCTTGGTAACCTAGGTAGGGTTTATTAATGAATGTGTGAATATGATTATAAAATATTATAGTTATATTTAAAGCCTTTTGATATTTCTTATTTCTGGGTTTTTTTATGTTCAAATGCCGGGACTCCCGGGGCTACCAAAACTTAAACATTTAATTTGAATTTGGGTTAGGACGATGTAACAGTAAACAACCAATATTACAGAGTCCTTAAGTACCATTGTTGGTTAATATAATTTGCGTCCCTCATCTATACGCAAGACCGTATTTATGCAGATTTGTAAAAACATGAATAGATTTCTATTTACAAGTTATTCATTGTTTTATGAAAAAATTATAGATGGCAACCCAAAACACTGTTTCTGATTTTGCAAAGAGAGTTGCGCTTATCCACTTTTGTATAATCTGTGACTTACATAATTATATATACCAAAGCTGCTTTCGGGTGCAAACTTCGAACTCGAACATATACTACTGGAGGCAGCCTGCCAATGGCCGGACACATTACAAAGTGAAAAAAAAGATTGCTGCTTTAAAGGTATTGCTATCTCTCTCGCCGAACGTGATTGGCTCACGACTGATCCCACGTGACAGGAACAGCCAATCATATTCGGCGAGAGAGAGATAACATGTTTATGGCAACATCTCCCTCTTCGCCTTATAACGCGCTCAGCCGTTGGGATGTTATCTTCTTATCTTCAGTAGTATATGCTCGAAGGGTGCAGAACATTAAGATCTTGGTACACGATACTCTTTTTAGTTTAGATATTTGCATTGCAATGCATATTTGCCCACATTCATGTTCCTTTGATTCTGCAAATTAACTTCAATTCACGTCTTTTATTGTATAACTTTTTATTAATGATAAAAATAATAAATAAGCTTTTTGACACCGAAATAATGTAAATTGCATACACGAATAAAAAATAAAAAGATTACTTTCAATTGTAGTTTCAACTCCGCAGGCTCAAGCGTCAAACACCACAAAATCGGCTGGTAGTTCAGGAGTCGGAGGGAAAAAAAGTAGATCACTCCGATGTAGTATTACGTTGTTATGTCCTGGAATGCATAAAAATACAAGTCCTCTGGAGTGCTTTTAAGTAAAATCAAAATTATAGGCAAAAAAGTGTACTATTACCAGTACTTTGTAATCAATGTACTGAATACTTTTGTTATATCTTATATATAAAATTCTCGTGTCACAATGTTCGTTCCCGTACTCCTCCGAAACGGCTTGACCGATTCTCATGAAATTTTGTGAGCATATTGAGTAGGTCTGAGAATCGGCCAACATCTATTTTTCATACCCCTAAATGTTAAGGGTGGTCCACCCCAAAATTTTTTTTTTATTTTTTGGACAAAATTTTCTGTTTTTATTTTTTAAACAACGTTTGTCGGGTCATTTAGTACCAATATAATAAATTTAAAAGAAATGCTTAAAATACAAAAAAGCAGTGATTACATTTTTGCAGTATAAAATTGCATAATTGTATCTAATTTAAATTATCCCGCTTAAATTTTTGACAAGTGCATGCGCTACCAGCATGTCTTCCTACTTGCTAACTGTAGGGTAGCGATCGTATATTGTTGTCAGTTGTCAGTTGAAAGTGAGATATTAGTTGACGATTTAAAAGTAATTGCGAATTCGTATTATTTATATTTAATTTATTTTCCGTACTTAGTGTAATATATAGTTTTTGAATACTACCACACATTCTAGAAATGGATAGGTCGGATATTCTTCAAATAGGCTCAAGTATCAACATAAAAAGAACTGATGGTAAGTGTTTGCAATTTATTTCACTTACATTCATTACAAAAAACAATGAAGTATTGTAGCTGCTGTGAGTTTTTGCTGGTTGGGTGTATTTGACATTAAGTCATAAAATTTCACAGCTTACAGAATGATGCGGAGTACTAACTTTTCATATAACGTTTTTTTTTGGTTAGATTATTGACATTATTCGGTATTTCTGTTTCTTTACACATTAAAATATACATGAGAAAAGTACTGGTATTTTTTTTACAAATTTTTCTCGTTTATCAACAATGCTACTTCCCTAACTTCCATTAATATACATTAGTCTTCGTTCAAGAGAATAGTTTTAACAAATGATGAACTTCACTGTTTTAATTCTGAAAGTTATCTTGTATATGTATATTTCTTTAAGATAATCTAAAATTAACTTGCCGTTACCTAAAATGTTAGGTTACGGGTACAGCCCATCGAGTCGGTATTCTCACCGATAAAGTATCTTTAATTCAGGGTTAATTCTTGTAAATAACATTATATCATTTTCTAGTTTTAATAATGATATATAATAACAACGATTCTAGAACAAATTTAAAATTTATATCAGTTGCCCATATACATTTTTTAATTCATGTATGGGAAATAACCTTAAAAGTTAGGTCTTGTCTAATGAATATATTATTAAATTTCAAATTATTTATTTCATATGGGTTTTATGCATAGGTAGTTCTTCTCTTAACTATTATGTAAACAGCAGCAGGACGAAATTGTAAGATTTATACGATTAATTGCTAAGATAAATTGATTTAATGTTGCATGTGTTTTCTCTTTTAGTACCTACTTGAGTAGGCAATATGAATCATATCATAGCGTGTTATTAAGATTTCAGTGACAAAAGTATACTTACTTGAAGATACTAAAATCCATTCAATGATAGTATCTAAGTAGGTACTAAAGTAGTTTATAAATAAACGATACTGAATAAAATTGATTTAAAAACGAGCACAGTTAACTGATTTACGCGATTGTCAGAAATTATCATAATTCAGTTCTAGTAGTGAATTGCAGCAAAATAGATTTAGAATAGGGATAAATATGAACAAAATTATTGTAATTAACAATATTGATAAAATAGTAAATTAATAACTAGCATGAATTGACTGACATTGTAAATTTGCGAGAATAGTTTTTTGTTTGAACATTATTGGACGAAAGATGTAACTATCATATTTACATGAAAGTTTTAATAGGTACCTATTCCAAACTGTTTAAAGGGATAAATTTATACCATTTTAACTACAGTTGGAACTCCTACTCCATTAATATAATTCACATACCCAATTTGGGTGTCTACTCGAAATCTAACATTTTGTCTTATACCTATATAAACTATTTGGGAACCTATTACTTGATACAAGGAGGACAACATGACGTAAACGTGAACATGATGACACCTTATATGGATTGCATATGTAAATGCAAGGTCGTTTTACCTGATTCAACCAACAGCCAATTATTATGGACTATTGTTATCTTGTGGATTTATGGAAAAAAATATGAAGGCGTATATTTGAAATCATTGATTTTGAAAAAGGAAGTTAATAATTAACATTTTATGCAGCAAATGTGATATACTTTGCTCAACATTTATATAATTTCATTTTGAATTCCTTTATCTAATTTTTTTTATATATAAAAAATAAGAGTACCTTCCCAGATATCTTATGTATATTTGTAGCTTCAACTATGGTATGTGATTACGAATTTACGCAGTATTATTCAAATCGTACATCTTATGTAAGGAATAGTTTTAGGTGATGACTTCCAGTATTTCATCCTCAACTTGCTTACTTTTACCCTATTTTTTAATTTGAAAAATATTAATCTCTAGACTATTAGAGAACTCTTGTTTAATTTTCATAAGTCGAATCGTTTTCGAGAAATTTAATTTATATAATAGAATGCCTTTATAGATTAATAATAAATTTCTCAACATTTATCCCATATACAAGGTGTCCTATTTTAATGTACCAGACCGCATAAACTTTTTAATTCGACTTTTATAAAAAAAATATATCGAACAAAAGTTAGTCAGGTTTCTTGGTGGTCAAATTAAGGTAACCTTGAAGTTAATTATCAAGGTCAACCTTGATTTTTTAAATGGAAACCCATATTTTTTATTGCAGATTAGTATTCTGTTGGAAAAAATACGTGACTTTTGTATGAAACATTTTTTTGAAGTACGCTATACTTTTACTGTTCCATTTTAATTCTCAAGAAATAAGCAGGTTGGTGAAAAGTATTTCCAACAAGAGTTATCGGGTTTCAGGGGGGGGATTAAATTACCGTGACCTTGGGGCTAAAAGGCTAAAAAAAGACCGAATAATATTACAAAACTCTTGGTTGATTCTAAAAAAAGGTGGCGCATAAGAAAATGAGAGAGATGATAATTTTGGATCTTTTTTTCTGGGGTGGGTACCGGGCTTTCTGAGGTGGGTACCGGGCTTTCTGAGGTGGGTCTTGCACACTGGATCTGCTCTCCTGCCCATGAAAGTACTTGTCTGAAAATTGTTCGAAATGTGTAACGTTTCAAAATATGCGAATTTATGGAATTTTAAAAATTTATTAAAAATTATCATGACAGTTTTTCCTTGAATAGTCGAAGATCAATATTTTTTTATTAAGGAAAAAATAAAAAAGTTGGGGACAGTATTTTTAAGAAATTATAAAAAAAATATCTATCATACACATTTAAAGGAACCATTATTATCCATTTTCGGAAAAGTTTATCTTTTTAATATATTATCTGTCCTAAAAATATCAGAAGACAATTTCTAGCCACTATGTGTTTTTAAAAGTAATACCCTGTTATTTTATAAAACATTATAATTTTATATAACATGGAACAAAAAGCGAATGTTCCATTTGAAATTGAAAAGTTTTTATGATTTGAAGGTCACAAACTGTAACCGAAAAATAGAACACTTGGTATAAGATCCTTGTAGTCCCTGTCAATTGTCAATTTTTTTTATTCAACAAATATCTTCAAAACTACTGAGGTTTATAAGCATAAAATCCTATATTGACGTAAAGGATATTTCGTATAGATTTTGATTAGGTATGAAAATTATTGTGTCCGGATAAAAATGGACTCAACTTCCAGGATAACTTCTTTGAGTAAAAATTAGATTTTTATTTAGATTTAGATCAAGTTACCTTAATACAATTTTGCTTTAAAAAATTACAGACCGTCAATTTTAAAGATATTTGAATGAAATTTAATATGGTAGAGTTTTTGGGGTTGTAGAATTTGAATGTGTATTATTTTTTACTTAAAATATAGAGGGCGCCAAGAACATCTTAAGCAGTCGTTCGTTTTTTGCCGTAATTTTTCTTGTTGGTAAAGATTTTGAGAAAACGCAGCTGTTTTTAAGTCCACGTTACTTTAAAAGAATTATACTTGTTGCATGTAGCTAAAATGCACTGTTCTAGAAAAAGATGGATTTCATTTTTTTATAGCAATAATCAACCGAGTATTTGAGGTTTTCTAGTCAAATTAAAGTTTACTTTTTTGCTGAATTTGCGCGGGAATTAAATGTTTGGGTTTGGAAACGAAAATTGGGGGGTGCATGAGATGTAAATGGGAGTCTATGAAAATTGATTCTCATAATACTTACTTTCTTATAATAGATAGTCATATAAATTACATATGGAGTAAACATTTTTTCATTTTTAAAACATAAATGTTTATGAAACAATATTTTAAGCTAGATTTGGGAAACTCTATAACTCCATGCTTTAATCATGGGAAAATTCGAGATCGATGATGGAGACCATTCTCCGTCGACCAATAATTTAATTGTTTTGAATTTTAATTAATGCTAATTAGAATATTCTCTTGAGTTTCAACCTATTTAGTTTTACTTATAACAATTTGTTATACTTTTGTTATACTTTTGTTATTAATAATAATAATAATAAAATTTTTTGTCCATAATATAAATACATAGTTACAAAGTGAGGTTACCTCAAAAATCTTAATTTAGACAAAAAGGAAGTACGCTCAGTACACCACAAGTGGTTTCCTGATCTTCCGCGCATCCTAGAAGCATGTGGATATTCTAACATAGTAAAAATTATATACACACATATACATACACATGTAATATATAATATATATAAAGTATACACGGTAATATAAGACAAAACGAGAAAAGACTTAGAAATAATCATTGAAAAAACATTTCTTTAAGGACATTCTGAAACAATACAGTGACATTGATTTTAACTCGGGACTTAACTTGTACAATTTTACAATATTAAAAGAAAAGGATCGCTCAAAGAATGTAGACCTGTGTCTAGGCATGGTTAATAAACCTTTGCTACGAATATTGATATTGTGTACGTCGGTTCTAAATGTTAATTTATTATAAAGGTAGGGGGGTGTCTTAGTAATAATTAATTTATGATAGAAGCAAAGAGCATGATAATTTCTTCTTACTATCATCGACAACCATTTTAATTTTTTAAAGGAATTAGATATATGGCTAAACTTCCTTATACCACATATAAACCGAACACAGGCATTTTGCACTTTTTGTATTCTGTTACAATCGGAACTGTCTATAC